GCTTAGATCAGACTTACTCTTTTGATTTGCCCAAGTCGAACCTAATTTTCAGTCCTATTTTAACCGAAAGCTCCCTTAGTTCGGATCTTCATCGTGTAAAACCAGTTTACTCACCGGGTCCCGATGGAATACCAGGCTGCGTGCTCAGATATTGTGCCGGAGCTCTGTGCAATCCCCTTCTGAAATTGTTTACCTTATCTTTAGAAACCTCAGAATTTCCCCTTATTTGGAAGGAATCATTTATCATTCCTCTCCACAAAAAAGGTAGCAAATCGGACGCCAGCAACTATAGAGGAATCTCTAAGTTGTCGGCAATTCCAAAACTTTTCGAGAATGTAATTACTCCCCACTTGCAGCATTTATGCAGATCCGTAATTTCTCCATGTCAGCATGGTTTTATGAGGCGAAGATCGACCACTACAAATCTCCTGGAACTCACCTCTTTCGTTATTAGAGGTTTCCAACGTAACTTTCAAACCGACGTGATTTACACAGACTTCAGTAAAGCCTTTGATTCGGTTAATCACTCTCTTTTTGTAAGGAAGCTTGACTTAATCGGGTTTCTTGTCGATCTTCTTAAATGGATTTTGAGCTATTTGAGTGATAGAACTCAAAAGGTTCTGTTTAAAAATGCTCTATCCAAATTCCTCAGAGTCACTTCTGGCGTCCCACAGGGTAGCCACCACGGCCCGCTGCTATTTACATTGTTTATCAATGACCTCCCGCTGGTTCTAACGAATTCCAGAGTACTTATGTACGCTGATGACGTTAAGCTATGCTTGCAGTATAAGGACAGCTCTTTCCAGTGAAACCTGCAATCGGATCTTAATAACTTTCAAGCATGGTGTCGTGCTAATTTATTACATCTCAACAGCTCTAAATGCAAGCAGATGACATTTTCACGTCACACTCACCAGTTTGCCACTTATATGCTAAATGATTGCGCTCTTGAAAGAATATCACTTGTTGAAGATTTAGGCGTTCGCTTAGACCCTAAACTTTCGTTCTCTGAACATATTTCGTGCACGGTTAATAAGGCCAGAGGCATGCTCGGTTTTATTGAGAGGTGGTCGAAGGAATTCGATTCCCCTTATATAACGAAGACCCTTTTTACTTCGTTAGTTCGCCCTATATTGGAGTATGGTTCATGCGTCTGGAGTCCTCAATTCGTAATCCATATTAACCGCATTTAATCTGTACAAAAGAACTTTTTACTTTTCGCCCTCCGTGGCCTACCTTGGGATGCTGATGAGAGGCTACCGTCCTATTCTAGTAGACTCCTATTAATTAACTTACCCTCCCTAGCTAACCGTAGAACGATGCTTGGTGTCGTATTCCTTCATAACCTAATAAACGGTGATGTTGAGAGCCCCTTTCTTTTAGGGCAGCTTAACTTCCACGTTCCCCGACTAACATCTAGAACCCTTATCCCTTTAGTAGTAAATCACTGTAGGCGGGAGTTTGAAGTACATGAACCCTTTAGGGTTTTATGTACGGATTACAACCGCCTCTATGACATTATAATTCGTAGCGATAGCCCTTCTGTACTAAAAACTTTAATACTTGTTGAGTTAGCTCGTAGTGTATCACCGTAGTCTAATTTTGCATGCGTTCTTATTTATTTATCGTAGTTATTATTTAGTTACATTATATTATTTTTTAATATTTATTTTGCATGCGTTTTTATTTATTTATCGTAGTTATTATTTAGTTACATTATATTATATATATTTTTTTATATTTATTTTGCATGCGTTTTTACTTATTTATTATTATTTTGATTATATTATATTTTATTTTTGTTCTCTCGTAACGTTTCCTCGTTCTTTTCTTCCTTCATTCACCGCGTCTATCTAGTTCGCGATTCGTGCCGTACGTCACACGGCTGCGCCCCTCGGTCGGTTGGGCGGAAGGTGGAAACGGGACCCCGCGCGAAAAAAAAAAAAAAAAAAAGGTTTTGGGTATGTACTGGGATCCACGTAACGACAGCTTTAAGTTTGTTTGCAGATTCTCAAGACTTAAGCGAGACGTCTTTATTGATACTGCGGTCCCAACTAAGAGAGAAGTTCTCCAGGTTCTGATGTCTATCTTCGACCCCTTGGGTCTGCTATCGTGTCATACCATTGGGCTAAAAATTCTTCTGCAGAAGATCTGGCGCGCAAATATTAACTGCCAGAGTCATTGCTGGAGGACTGGAAACAGTGAAAGCTGTTACTGTCCCAAGTTGCAACAGTCAGCATTCCAAGATGCTACTCCATGGGGCTACCTGAAGCAAGCCGCATCGACCTGCATACGTTGTGGACGCTAGCGAGCATGCTTATTCCGCTGCCTGATATCTGCGGGTACAGCAAAAGGACAAGGTGGACGTAATGCTCGTGGTCGCTAAAAGCAAAGTGGCGCCACTAAAACCACTGTCCATTCCACGCATGGAGCTCGAAGCGGCAGAGATGGGCTCACGCCTGGCGAAAAAGATCGTCAATGTCCGTAACCTTCAAGTCGACAGTACTACCTTTTGGTCGAACTCACGCACCTTTCTACAATGGCTGGTTATAGACCCCCGCCACTTTCAACAGTTCGTTATGCACAGAATCGGCGAAATCCTGGAAACCACTCGAGCGGATCAATGGCGATGGATCCCGTCGAAACTCAACGTTGCGGACGGGGCTACAAAAGTTATCAACAACCCTCAGACGGACACTTGGCTTTACGGACCCGAGTTCTTAAAAAACGAACCTAATTCTTGGCCAACGATTCCCTCCAAGCCAACGGAGGTCGATACAACTGAATTACGTACACACATCTTCACAACTCGTAAAGCGGGCAAAGTCCAACTCGACATCGAATATTTTTCTGATTGGCGCCGCCTTTACAGAGCCGTTGCAGTCATGTTTCTGTATATCCATCCACTGCGAGCTAAATGCAACAGGATCGACATGCCAGGCGTGGTAACTACAGTTCACGTCGAAGAAGCACAGAATCTGCTATGCAAAGAAGCGCAGGGACTCGAGTTCGCAGATGGGCTCAATTCATTGAAGGGCCAGAAACCAATAAGCGCAAAGTGCAGATTAACCGGATTAAACGTATATCTTGACGACAAGGAAATACTTCGCACTAAAGGAAGAGTGAACGCCATCGAAAACTCTGCGGACGCCATTATATTGCCACCGGAGAGTCGAGTAACATTCCTGCTAGTTCGATTTTATCACGAGAAATATCATCACCTCGCCCACGAAACCGTCATAAACGACATAAAATCGAAATTGTATATTTTGCGGCTCAGAGTACTCCACAAATCTGTTAGAAAGGCCTGCCAAATAAGCAAAAATCGTAGCGCCATACCACAGCCTCCACAAATGGCTGCAGTTCCAAAAGAAGTTGGAGTTGGAGTTGATTATTTTGGGCCAATTCTTGTTAACGTTGGAAGGCGCAAAGAGAAGAGATGGGATGCGCTGCTTACTTGTCTGACCTTGCGTGCAGTTCACTTCGAGATCGCCCACAGTCTCGATACAAGCTCCTGTGTGATGTGTCTGACAAATTTTATGGCACTTCGCGGTACACCGAGAGAAATCTATTCCGATAATGGCACCAATTTCAAGGCTACTGAAAAAGCAGTGCGAGAGGAGTTAATCAAAATCGATTTCGACAAAATAGCCATAAAGTTCGACGGCATTAAATGGCGATTTAACCCTCCAGGCGCCCCCCACATGGGCGGAGCATAGGATTGGTCCGCACTACCAAGACAGTCCTAAAACACATCTGTCCAAACAATTCATTCAACGACGAAAGCCTGAGAAGTGCTCTAATGGAGGCACAATTCATCATTAACTCACGTCCGTTAACCTTTTTAGCCTGGACTCTGAAGACGATTCTGCGCTCACTCCAAACCACCTGTTAATGGGATCATCGAATGGGTACAAACCGATCAACCCGGAGCATTTGAATTTGAGACGTCAATGGAACGAGGTAAAACGTTTTGGAGATCGTTTCTGGCAACGTTGGGTGAAAGAGTTTACACCGATGCTAACTAGAAGAACCAAGTGGTTTGAGAAGTGCCCGGCGATATCAGTTGGAAGCATAGTCATTATCGTCGACGAGAACTTGCCCAGAAATCTTTGGCTTAAGGGACGCGTAACCAACACTATTCCGGCCAAGGATGGCCAAGTTCGTCGAGCCACTATTAAAACGCAGCATGGAATTCTCGATCGACCAGCTACCAAGATTGCGGTTCTAGATGTCGGCGAAGGAGAGGGTAACTGATCGTCCTGGGATCAATTACGAAGGGGGGAATGTTGCCGCCATAATTTAAGTTTAATTTCGTTTTCTTTGATATATAACTATCCGATCATTTCCTTTGTTAACTATCGGTAGACTTTATCGATGTACCGATATAAATGTATCAAATGTCATGTACGATCTCTAGAAGGGACGCCACTTGAGTTTTTGGACAAAAGATCGAGGGAAAAAGACAAAAGTTTTTAATCGCTACGCCACCGCCGCTACGCTGCCGCTACTATATTCACTTCGATTCGGAAGCAAATAATGAATAAATTTGTTCAACGCTATCCGCCTGTGTTATTATTGTGTCCTGCTCTAAAACCGAAACTTTTCCTCGTCAAACTCTTTGCCAATTACAATTATAAAGTATTAAAGCGCAATAAATCGTAAATAAGTGGTATTACCTGGGGGAGATGAGTCGGAGAATAGGTGATGCCCCAAGATAACCAGGAGGCATCACTGGATGGGTGGGTGCGGCGTGGCGTCCACATCTAAGCCACCAATTCGTCCCAAATTGTCGTCCAAATCTTTGTTTACCTTTTTTTTTGGAAAACTCGCACAAACTTGCATACATACATGTGTAAAACGACATACACCGGTAAATTTCGCGGGAAAGAACGCACACACATAGAAATTTATGTACATCCTAGCCCTTCAGTTCCATTCGTCAACGATTCCCCTACGATTCCTCATGGAACCGAAATAATTCCATGAGGAATCGCCATGGAACGTTCTTACAACTCGGCTAGGAATTTCCATACAACGGGTGGTCCCAGCCTGTAATTCGAAATTCGCCCAAGAATCCGTCACGAATCGCATGGGAAGGTCCACGGGAATTTCGAACTCGAATCCTCCACGAATCGTCGAGGAATCCCGCGGTAATGGCTGTCGGGAATCGTAGAGGCATCCCGAGAAAATCATTGCGGAATCCCGCGGGATTCGCTAGCGGAATCCGCCAGGAATACCAGATGAAAATCTATAGAAAATTCCTGAAAAATCCCCCCCTTCCTAGTAAAAATCCGATGTAATTTATTCCTTATTTATTTATGGATTGCATTTTTTATTTATCTTCACATTTTTGGTAGCATTACATTTTTCTGCAAAATTAAACATGTATATGTATGTATGTACATATATGTACATATACATATGTATGTACATACATAAGTGCGTGTCACGAGTCTCCTTTGCCGGCTGCTGGGTCCTTTAAGAAACTTGTTTTATCTGTAAATTAAATACATAAGTAGATACATATTTTTTAATCAAATTGTAAATTGCAGTACATACCAACTTAAACTGGATAAAAAAACTTTGTAAATCCGTACTGAATCCCATTCACACCGTCTAGGTTGAAGTCGCATCCATTTTAATCGTCAATTCTGCAATTAAAATTAAAAATTGAATGCAAATAAGTTCCACTTACCTTAGAATATTTCATTTTTACGCAACTAATACGCAAAACACTTCTGAATGCAACAGCAGTCAACTCAAAATGCAAAGAGAATTAGAAGACAAAACCGAACACCGAAAATTCTCGCGTGTGTCAGGGTATAGCCGACAAGGCAATGCCTTGCAATTAGATTCACAAAGGGCCAATAATCGAACATGAACATTTCGGCCATGTCTAAAGCACATTTTCTTACGTGCTTATATCCCACACGATTTTATACGTAAAAATTAATTAAATATAATCGTAAATATTTTTAACTAACTCTACTTATTTTAAAAAGGTCATTCTCACGTCGGTGCAATACTCTTTGTTTTTGACACCAATTTTCTTTCCTCCCTTCCTTCCATCTCCATCTCTCTCTAATTTACGAATTCTCGCAACCGCTACTCCGAACGTAGATCGAAAACAATAACAAATATGAAGAACGAACTTCGTGAAGCCCTCGGCAGTAGCCGAGCGTAGGTAGAATTTGTTTCGGCTATTTTGTTTCGAACTTCGCTGAACGAGGCCCATGTAATTTGTTTTTGTTTTTCGAACATACCGCGGGGAATTGGACGGGCGAGGAATTCTGGAACTGCAGGGAGCTTATACATATGTGACAACTTAGTTTTTGTTATTACGAAAAAAAATTTAAAATGTAATGCGTTGTATATTTAAAAAACCACCAAAGATGAAGGTGACCAGCTAGATCAACCGAGCATACAGGGAGCTTTTTTGGGTGCAGCAAATAAAAACGGTGAGGAAAATAATGGGTCAATGAATATTGAATATTTAAAAAAAATTTGTTGCCAAATTTTCAGCAAAAGACCGAAAAATTACCGATTCATTGATCCATATGATCTGCAAAGATAATATGACAGACCAGCATGTAACCGAACGAGTTTTTCTTAAATCATTAAAAACAGATTTGTATTAAATAAAACCACTCAACGGTCTATACCATATCCTTCAAAATGTTGTTATTATATTTCTATACCAAGAGAGAGCGGGTATAATATTTGTATTTTAAGTTCGAGGATTTCTATTCACATTTTAAATTTCTCAAAATTTACCCAAATTTTCAGAAACAGGAAATCTCTATCCAAATTTTGCTAAACATTAAACAAAATTTAAAAAAAATCGATATTTTTTATGATATTTTCGAATATCATCGAGTGATATTTTTTTAACAGCAAAAATCATCAATACCATATTTTTTTAAAAACCAACAACCCCAAAAATGACTTTTGTAGCGCGCCTCTAATTTGCGCTATGTGCCCGTGCTAAACGTTTCGTTCTCGACCAAGACAATGTCTCTAGTACTATAAACCGTTGGCTTGGAATAGCTGGCATCATATCTTCTCTTGGCAGCGGCTCTATGGTCGTTTAGTGTGGTCGCAGCGTCAGCTCGGAGCTACTCCAATTCGACGTCTGTCATCATGTTCAGGTCTTGATTTTGGATCACGCTCGTCAGCGTGTTCTTGAGGACATCTCGGGGCTCATAACAGTATAGTAGCTGAAATGGGGAACGTTTAGTAGTGCTGTTTACCATGGTGTCGATGCTCCATTGGATTGATCGCATCTTCTCATCCCAGCGCTTTTCGTTTTCGTTTGAAGGCAATAGCATTGACAAAATAATTCTATTTGTCCGATCTGCATGTCCGTTGGCGCTTGGTGTTCTGACAGCTTTAAGGATGTGCTTCATATTGTTTGTCTTGCAGTATTTCTCAAAATCTTTTGAGGTTAAAGCGGTACCTCGGTCTCTGGCATTCTCACGTAGCTGGTGATTTCTTGCAGGGCATCAATGACGTGTTTAGTTGCTGTACTTTTTACTGCTATGGTGACTATGGTGATCTTTGTGAAAAGGTCGACAAGTACGAGAATATGTTCATTTCGCTTTGAACTCCTCGGAATCGGTCCCAGGTGGTTCATGTGTACGGTGGAAAGGGAATCGGTTTAATGTCATCGTAGTGGTACTGACCTTGACGTCGACCTGGTATTTTATACATTGCGCAGCCCACACAGGACATTATGTAGCTTTTAAGCGATTTCTCTACAAAGCGGTATGTTGTTGTTGCCTCCTTCGTGAAAGTTTCCTCTCGCGGTAAATGTGGCTACCCCCGCAGCATAAATATCAGTCACATCAGCTGTTCGTACGATCAGCTGTGACACAGTGCTGGAAAATGTCCAGGAGCCCACCGATATGGCAGCTCCCAGCCCTTACCGTATGACGTAGCATCATATGACCGGCAGGTGGCGCTGCTGTTTGCCGTGACGAAAGCTGACGGCTACGGCGACGAAAAACCCCAAAATACGGACCGCACGGGGATAAAATAGGTTGTAACGGTCAAGGAGCGGACCAACAGCCAAGCCCTCTGCGGTACATCTTTAAACGGGGCTCTGGCGACCGAGCAGGAGCGGTATAACTCCCACCTGGTTAGCCACGGGGAAACTCCTGGCCATCGAGGGACCTCGCACGCGCATGTGCCGTGGGCGGCTATGTGACCTGCGTCTGAGCCATAGTGGCCGGCAGAAGACCAACCCTGGCAGCAGGCACTAACTGCATCAAAAACCGACACTAAATCCAGGTAACGTCTGTCCCATAATGGGCGGCTATCCGGTCTGCGTCTGAGCCATAGTGGCCGGCAGTGACAGCATCTGGCAGAAGGTATAAAATGCAGCCGAGCATGGGCAACAATGCACCAAATTTGGAATGTCAGTATATAACGATACTACTCCAGGTGGCAGCCACAAAAGTGGAAATCCACCCGCGGGAAATCCCGCGGCCAGGGCAAGGATTCTGGAGGCCCTAACTAACCTTCCAACACCCCCTAATGTGGCGGTGGCCGACTTGGCCGTCACGGTAGGTATTGCATCAAGCCAGGAAAAGATTCCGTACATGGGATACGCAGCTGCTTTTGGGAAAAGCAGCCGGATGGTCCGATCCCCACCCCCCGCGCCATCACCGGCGTCAGAGAGGAGTGGAAGCGGCGATCCCCCTGATCCCGCCGATTCGGTAAAAAGGGAAAGAGACCCGGCCAGCCCGGCAAGCGGTCTCAGGGGTACGCTCCCGAAAAGGAGCAAAGCTGCCCAGGAGGAGCCGAAATCCGACGCCGAGGATGAGGAAGAGGAAGAGCTAAAGCTCACTCGGGCCGAGTGCGACGCGAAGCTTGGAATTCTGCTTGAGAAACTGCACAAGCATATGCAGGATAAGCAGGTTCGCCACATCAATAACCGCATGCGGGAAATGGTCACCGAGATGAGGAGACTCAAATCCTGCATCGAGAAGTCGGCCGAGAAGGCTGTGGTCTCGGAGAGCGTCTGCAGTAAATGCGCCCAGGTCATACCGGATGGGAAGTGTAGTGTGAACAAGGGGCAGCAGACGACTGCAGTGCGGAAGAAGAACCAGGCCGCCCAGACGGACCCGTGGCGGGGACAAAGCCAACCCGAGGACGCCGTGGTAGTGGTGGCAGCAGGGAAGACCTACAACGAGGTCTTGGCAATGGTCACGAGAAGAGACGACAACCAACTGTCTGACCTGGATACGGAGACTCCAAAACAGCTGTGATCAGCCTGCCTTGCTCTATGGCCAGAGAGGTAAGGAAAAGAGGCGAGATCCGAATAGGATGGACGAAGTGCAGAGTGCGTGAGCGCGAGGGCCCTCCTCGATGCTTTAGATGCCTGGAACTGGGGCATATCGCCAGCAGATGTAAGAGCGTTGTGGATAGGAGCGGCTGCTGTATTAGGTGCGGCGAAGCAGGACACAGGGCAGCCACGTGCAATAAGGAGCCGGTGCACCCCCGGGTAAGGGAGCTGGCGGCAGTGAGACCAACGGTCGATACGGCAGCAGAAGCAGCCCGGTCGGAACTGGCGGTGAGGGCCCCCCAAGGATGTCATGCAATTGATTCAGCTTAACCTGAATCATTGCAGGGCGGCGCAGGATTTGCTGCAGCAAACGGTCCGCGAGGTATCAGCTGATGTTGCTTTTCTGAGCCAACCCTACAGGGAGAGGGAAGGAGCGGAGTTAGCCAGTGACCGCACTGGCAAGGCGGCCTTTTGGCTATGCGGCGACAGGCGACTTCGGATGTCCTGCATCCGGGAAGCCGATGGCTTCGTGCGTGCAGAAGTCGGTGGCTTTTGGATGTACAGTTGCTACCTTGCGCCTAGCCTGCCGTTAGAGGCGTTCAGCAGGATTCTCGACGAACTTTGCTACGACTTGCGCGGTAGGGCGAACTTGATAGTTGGAGGCGACTTCAATGCCTGGGCCCAGGAGTGGGGATCCACATCGACCAACGCCAGAGGATGGGTGGTGCTAGAGGCGTTCGCCTCGACGGATGTTGTCCTCCTGAACCACGGAGAGCGGCACACGTTTGTCAGAGCGGGAGCTGCCTCAATCATTGATCTCACATTTCCGAGCACTTCAATCTCCCATAATGCCAAATGGGAGGTCAGCATCGCCTATACGAGGAGCG